TAAATCCCTCACAAATCATATAAATCAGTCATCAGTGAATGTCATGTTTCAATAAAATCCTACCCGTCAGTGCTCATTTGCATAGTTCTTAGAGTAGCTAATGGCTGCCGATCAGTTTGAATTAGTAGTGTCTTTTGTATGCACTTTTGGGAAAACCCAATGCAAACTGGCTCAGCAGGTGTTTGTGTCTACCCGGCATGAACCGAACAGACTGGGTGACTGGCTCACATCTGATCATAACCTTTGACTATGGTAAGTTTGACAGTTTAACGTGTTCGCAGAGAAATTTTCAGCATCCCTACTGTTTACATGAGGGATTTGTTTCATTGTCGTATTAACACTCCATTTTTGTATTTGTAATGAATATGAAAAGGAATGCACAAGTCTTTTGTGAAGTTCACTGAAGTATGTTAATTCTGGTACTTCTGCTCCTCATGTCACTGGCTTCCTTGAGGCTACAGGGGCTGGCCACTTTTCTCTGCCCGCCTTCTGGCACTTCTTGTGTGGATGACAGCTACATGATATTAGGGGGATGTGGACACTTCTGCAGGGCTATTTTTCAAGCAAGGGAACCCAGGGCTCTTTTTGTAGAAAAAGCCCAGCAGGAACTCATTAGCATAATAGGCCACACCCAACAGCAAACACTCATTAGGATTGGCTACATTAGGGGGTGTGTGGCCTAACATGCAAAGGAGTTCCTGCTACAAAAAAAGCCCAGGGTTTTGACAACAAAGTAAACAGAATAAGAAGCAAAAGGTGGGTGTGGTTGGATGACCACACGTCTGGTAACATGTGGGGTGTGGCCTAATATGCTAACGAGCTGTGCTGTCAAAGGTGTGGCCTAATATGCTAATGATTTCTGCTGTTGGGTGTGGCCTATTATGCTAATGAGTTTCTGGTGGGCTTTTTCTACAAAAAAAGCCCTGCACTTCAGTGTTCCACCATGATTGGTGGATGCCAGTGTGATAACTATGCACCTGGACCCTTGCTGTGGGGTGTTTGTGTCACTTATTTCCCCTCAGCAGAATGGTCCTAGAATACCAACTAGCAGCTATAACTCCACATTAGTGTTGGTTCACCGCTGGCATTGCAGGTTTAGGACTGGGCTGACCAAGACCTTCTTTTCTTCCTTACACTATTTAACCACTTACTGAATTTGTGAGTGAAGTTTTCAACAAAACTGAATTAAACCTACAGAATAAAATAGTCACTGAAATGTAAAATAATCAATGGACTTAGGGAAAGTAAGTGGGAGAGAGCCCAAACATACTTCTGGAATGTTGCCAGTCAAAGATCTGGCAGGAGAAAGAAAATGTATACCTGAACCACAGCTGTAGCATTTGCCACAATAGTACAAAATGCTGAACATGTATGGAATACTTGGGAAGCCACTCCCATCATCCCATAAGAGTTTGTGATACAACGTTGGATAGGAGGACCACTATCAGGTTCATCACATCTTAATCAAAACTGACGGTGAGGCTGTTCTGATCACGTCTGTCCTTACTTTGCAGCCTGTAGCACAGCTATTAACTTACATAATGGTCACAGGAAAGCCTGACCTTCTCCAGGGGTGCATCAGAAGGTGACAGTGATGGGGCTGGGACTACAGTCGGACTGGCAATGAAATTTGTTCTGCTTGGTCACCATACATTTTGCTCCCTTGTGTCAGTAGAAGCTAGTGCAACAATGTAATCTTTATCAGCGTTGTTGATAGAATGATAAATATGGCCAAGAATTGATCTGTTCTTATTTATTCATGTATTTGTTCCAATCCAAACCTGATTTTTAAACCTTCCTAATCAAAGCCCAGTCTATTCATAGAAGCTTGCATCTCTTGATATCAGTGCATCGGTGTGGGGTCCTGCTCTTCAGAACCTCAGCTGCATAGCATGAAAGGTCAGCAGGCTGCATTGCCAGAACCAAAAGAGGAACTCAGGTCCCTTTGTACTCAGAAGAATAGAGATCTATGAAGCAGACAAGTAGGGGCAAGTAGGCAGTGAAGCTGGCACAGCCTGTTAAAAATAAATGCTGGCATAGTTCCCTCTTTCTTGGTTCTTCTACCTGATACCATCCCCTGCATGCTTCTGTTCATAAGCTGTTTCTCTGCCAAGAGAGAGAGTGTGTGTGAGAGAGCTCTCACAGCAACCATACCACACCATTATGCATCCCTCATAAGGATACCAGTAGTATGTTACAGCTGCTTCCCATCTAGATACTTTCAACTTCTTTAAATATTCTCCTCTCTTTGCAGGAGAGAAAAATAGAGAGTGCAGGGGCTACAGGCATAGTACTACGTGTATTTCTCTGGCTAGGGAAATAACATGGCATGCCAGGGCTCTCTGTAGCCTGAGAAAAAGCTCACATTACTTTTGCAGAATGTGCTGCTCCTTCCCACACTGCCAGGTAATATGAGGAACCCCTGCACCATGCAGGAGAGCCCACATTGCAGCTCCTCCTCCTAGCACTGATGTTGGTGTGAGAAGGAGCTGTCCTGTAGGTGCTCCTGAGTGTTCTTCATATGACTTTGGCAACACAAAAAGGTGTTGCATTGCAGGGTCCTCCATTCCACCAGCCTCAGATCTGGCCTCTATCTTTTTCTGCTAGGAAACATAGATTAATGGTATTCAGTCTCAGCATGCTGCTATGTGTCTTCTGCTGCGGACACCCAAGAACCTTGTGGTTGCAGCATCTGTGCACAGACCTCAGTGGTAGTGGGGCTTCTGCCCGGTTGCTTCAAGCAGCTTTTCCTTGTCACAGGTGGCCAGATGGATGTCTAATTCTAAGGCTGTGGTAGCCACTCAAAGTTCTGGATGTCTTAGGATAGGAAAGAAGCAGAGCCACTCTAAGACTAAAATCCAAAATCAAAAGCCATATAATACTTTCTATTAAGACCACCCAATAAAAATTAAAACATTCTTTTGGTTTTGGATTTTGCTTAGATAAATGCAGCTACCTGCAACCACTGTTAGGATAGTCGGGCAAGGTGAAACAGACCACGGCCTGCTGCTACAGAGATGCCCTCTAAAATGGCTTCCCCATGTAAACAATGCTGCCCAGCTCATAGCAAGTGATTCACTCCCATCTTATTGTGGCTGGTGATGCAGTATCTTATTAGTCAGAATCATCTACAATGGCTGCAGGGTGACTGAGAAGGAAAGAGATTTTCTGTGTAGACCAGTGAGTACCAGGAGGTGGCAATACAGGCAGGGGGCATTTCAGTCAGATAATAGAAGTGCATACTTCTCTATTTTGCCACAGAAGCCCAGAGACAACCAGCTTTCATGAACTGGCGGGAGCATCGCCTGTCTCCTAGGATTTATCGGCAAGGGTTAGAATTCCCATTTCTCTCAGTCAATGTTCCCTCTAAGCTGTGGAGTCTTGAGAGCAAGAATTCTTTTTGTGAGCTACTGGCATTAAAGTTGTGAGTGAGCAATTTGACTGCTGCATAAATTAGTTTTATCTGGAGCCATCCTTCCTGAGCTAGGACACAAATGTGTGAGCCGGGGGCTAAAAAACTGTGAGCTAGCTCACACTAACTTAGCTTAGAGGGAACACTGCTCTCAATCCACCCACAATGTAAAGGTAAAGGTTTCCCTTGCTCGAAAGCCAGTTGAATCCGACTCGAGGGTTGCGGTGCTCATCTCCGTTTCCAAGCCGAAGAGCCAGCGCTGTCTGAAGACATTTCTGTGGTCATTGTGGCCGACATGACTAAACACCAAGGTGCACAGAACGCTGTTACCTTCTCACTGAAGTGGTACCTATTTATCTACTTGCAATTTCTTGATTTCGAACTGCTAGGTTGGCAGGAGCTGGGGCCAGAGACGGGAGCTCACTCCGTCATGCGGCACTAGGGTCTCGAACTGCTGAACTACCAACCTTCCAGCCTGCAGTTCAGCGTCTTAACCACTTGAGCCACTGCAACACACTGCAGCTCACCACCCACAATAGTGGTCAACAATTCTGACTAGAGAACTTTTCACTTTCTGCCATTGCCCTATCACACTGTATGCCTCCATAACTCCCCAACCTGAATCATAGGAGGAGAGCAGAAACACACAATGTGATGGGACCAAGTCACAGGGTGACATCTGACTAATGTGAAGCATCTCACAGGGGTTTCTTGCCACAAGGTGACATTTTCAGGATCTTTGGATGGTAACTATGCAGCTCTGTCCTGTAGATTTTGGCCAAAACACTGTCTGAAAACTTTTCTCATTCTGCATTTTAATGAACAATGTAGGCATCATATACCGTGTTTCCCCGAAAATAAGACACTGTCTTATATTTATTTTTTCTCAAGAAGACACACTAGAGCTTATACCACAAATGCATAGAAATCCTGCTAGGGCTTATTTTTGGGGTAGGACTTATTTTCGGGGAAACAGGGTACTATCTGCAGAAAGCATCTCCCAGTTCTGCAATCCATAGCATGAACATAGTGGTGCATAAAGTCCTATCATTGCATTGGGGACTCAAGTGCATGTAACATTTTTTTTCTGGACCAGTATTAGCGGAGTTATTATTAAAATACATGGTATATCCATGTTTTACCAACCAACATATTAGCATTGTACACTCACAGATTTAAGGAACAGGATGCTAGAACAGGTGGACTCTTGATCTAATCCAGTGGGTTCTTAGTACGTAAGGAAAGAACTACAAAAAAAGATGATGATGTATTTTCAGTGTCAGCGGGAAATTTAACAGGGTGAATTTACCTCAGTTTATTTTCCTCTTTAGTCATTCTGTCTGACTTCACAGCACCCTTCCCAACCCAAATAAGGCCCGGAAAGAATGTGCTAAGCATTAAGTGTGCTAAGAATACATTTGAGCTGTGATGGATAAGATTACTGTCAAGTCTATATTTCATATTTTTTCTGACTAGACCTTGTAATTACATTTAAGATGGAGGGGCTTTAACGGTTCTTTCCAGCTCCTTTGTGCTGTTGCTTCTTCTCTTACCTGCTTTGGTGTCTCTTTTGTAGCTGGACTTTTTCACTTTTTTATTTTTGGTCCCTGCATGTGGCTCCTAGGATGCCAAAAAATCTGTGCTAGAGATTCGCTGAGAGCCCTGGCTATTTTTGTTAGAAGCTGATACTTTAGCCTGAGCTGTGAGCATTGCCTTGGGAGAGGGGTTAGTTTCTTGGGAGGTGGGGAGGGCAGAGCTTTATAGAGAAGACACTTCAAAAGAAGCAGAAAAGAAGGAGAAAAAGATACCCCCCCAAGAAAGTAAGAACGGTAAAGGACCTCCCACCTTTTAATTTGGCATCTCTGGCAAGAGTCAGCGCCGAGCCTGACATCTCCTCTCAGCTGCCAATAGAACTTGACCTTTTCACCAGAGTGTTTCTTATTGTCACCATTATGACTGAGATTACTGCAGAAGGTACTGTAACAATCTTTATGTTATAATTGTCTTGGGGGAAAGAAAAGATTTCTGCCTTGACATGTTAATAGATTCAGCCTACAAGTGTGATCTACGGGCTTTTAGGGAATAGCAGTTTTCCTGCAGGGCTGGTTGCAAGAAGCGGCTTCTGTACAGCAGCTGGAATTTGTACTAGTTAGTGAAGCTCGATCATCCTACACCTCTAAAAATAGCCTCCGTCACATAACCTTAGCGACACTCGCTTAGATGGAGAGGCTGCAGGATAAAAGTTTAGCAAAGTCATATATATCTGTAACAAAACTGGAGGTGTTAAGATGTAAGCCTTGAGGCTGTTCCTAACCTGTTGTTTAGTGTTTGTGTACAGAAAGATTCTCGCAGGAGCCAAACTCACATATTCTTCATTCTTTCCCTTGTGGAAGAACTTTTGAAAGCTCAGACTTTGTTGGCTTTCTGATTCCTTAGTAGATTCAGTTTTGCATCTATTGCTTGACAATTGACCAAGGCAGGGAAATGGAGGATTTGATGACATTGTCTTCTACTTTCCCTTTAAGGGAAGAGCAGGGTGAACTAGATAGGTGGGTGCTCTTTTCAGTGGTGATCCTATGATCAGCATTGCAGCTAGGGCTTTCAACAGTCCTTACTGCATAAGGCCTCGTAACATATGTAGGGTTGCCAACCACCAGGTGGTGGCTGGAGGTTTCCTGACAGAGATCTGTTCCCCTGGAGAAAATGGCTGCTTTGGAAGATGGACTTTGTGACATTAAACCTACTGAAGTCCTTTCCATCCCCTAACCCCACCCTCCTCCGGTTCCACCCCACAAATCTCAAGGTATTTACCCACCTAGAGGTGGCAACCCTACATATAAGGCACTGTTACTTTCATTCCTGAGGCTAACAATGCACTCATTGACAGAGTTAGACCCTTGAAAGCTCACTGTCTCCAAGAGACAGAAGGGTGTAATTCTGCTAAGAAACTGCACTATAAGAGACAGTGACTTTCTCAGGTCACTTGCTCAGTCCACAAGTGGAGCTTGACTGGAGGTCTCCAGATTCTAAGACCAAACCAAATGGACCACATTGGCAATAATCTTCTAACACTGAAGAGTTAGCAAAAGCTAACAAAAGTCTGCAAATATTTTTTGCCTCATTATATAAATCCAAATCAGAATGTCAAAGTTCTGATTCTCCTCAGTGAGTAGATGTAGAAGGACCCCAACCACTTGCCTGACTCAAGTTTAAAAATTGTGTATGGTGCCTTACATCAAATAATCCTTTGAAATAAATCTAGTGTTTGACAAGACTACACAATCCTGGAAACCTAGGCAATTAATATACCCTTGGAAGCCCAGGAGAACTTTGCATATGCAAGGTCTGCAAAGAATGAGATTTCATCCTATACATCGATAAACTGTTATTCTAAAAATATGAATATCTCATGAATATTTTTAGTATATCCTGATCATTAATGTGTACAAATAACATTTTATTCAACACAATGAGAAAGGGAAACGGGTAGGTTTTTAAAAGACAACTTTTCAATTTGACAAAGAAAATGTCACGCTAGACTTTTCCATTGTAGATCATTCCATTTTTCTCCTCCAAGCTTATTACTGTCCTTTTTTATATATAAAGAAAAGGCACTCAGATAATATTCTTTGCACTTTTTATTCACCAAACCAAGCTGCTGTGCTCCAAGTCACTGCAGTTATTAATTAAATATGAAAGCAAAATACGCTTCGTATAAGAGGATTTGCATTAAGCTTTATAGGAGACCAAATCTCTTTGCTCTCTAAAGACTGCAGAATTAAAGAAGCCCTGCATCAATTACTATCAATACTACACTGGGCCATAGCTCATTGGTAGAGTGCATATTTTGTATGCTGAAGGCCCTGGGTCCAGTCTCTCTTCTCCAGTTAAAGGATCTCAGGCAGCAGGTGTTCGGAAAGAACTTTCTCTGCCTAGACCTTGGAGTGTTACTGCCTGTCAGAGAAGACCAATGAGCATGATGGATTGATTTGCAATATGATATCTTCATGCATGTTCACGTAGCATGCGTCAAACGGGTTAAGTCTGCAGATGTTTGGTTGAACAGGCAAATGTTGGGGGGAAGAGACACACTCTAAATGTTCACACTCTAGATGTTCACACTCTATGGCCTTTTGAGTGTGTTGTAGAGCAGCATTCACACCTTCAGGCTGGCAACATGTATTCTAATATATGAGCAGAATTTGTCATGGCTCCTCCTCTTGCGGATGCCTAGTGTAAAGGACTCATGCTGTGCTTGCCTGGTGGACAGCGTAACTTCAGTAATTATTGCTATTAATGGGCATGAGGCACACTGTCTTCTTGATTTATGCAAATAACTTTTGGGCTAAATGGCAGCATTATTTACCTAACACTGAGAGGAGATTCAGTGAAGTTATCAGATTCAGAAAATATAACTAAGGGAAGTAGCAGCTGTTTTCCTATTTGAAGGGACTTTTAATTAAATTGAAGCAAAGTGTAACTAAACATTCTTTTAAAAGTTCACAATGAATGTAATATGCATGCATCTTGTCTTCAAGGTGACATGCTTTAGCTGCTCTAAGTTATCTGCATGGTTAATTTGCTTTAAATCTTGGCAATTAATTTGAAAGGTGGGGTGCAGACATTTTTTACAGTGCTATCCTAAGCAGGGTTGCCCCCATCCAAGTCCACTGAAGTCAACGGACTTAGAAAAGTATGGCTGTGTTTAAGATTGCAGTGTTAGTGGGTCACCCCTCTAATTTAAAGTATTAATTTCAAAGAAACTAATCCCATGAGTGTGGGTCAGCCCCTGATTTTATAAGTGTGGAATGATGCGTTCTCTGGGACTGCTTTCCACATAGATTGAATGAGGTTGTAGCTACTTTTAATAGCTAGCTTGAGTTGAGGTAGTAAATCCTGGAATACTGAGTATGGAGGGAAATTAGTATTTGAAAGCTGATGCCAACTGTTAAGGCACAGGGCAGCTGAGTTTAGTTTAACCCAGTTATCTAATCTACCTATATGTTATTCAACATTTTTTTTAAAAAAATTACACACCACTTTCCATTGGCCCATTTCTTAACAACTATTAAGCAATACAAAGATAGGCTACACTTTAAAAAACAGACAATAAAACCAATTGAGAAACAAACACAGCAATAATCCTCTCCTCCCAAAAAGAGTCTTGAGGCACCTTAAAGATTTATTGAAGTGTAAGGTTTGGTGGGCTAGAGCCCACTTCATCCCATGGATAAAGTGAATTTTTAGACAGCAGGCATTTCATGGATCTGATGCAACAGCATAAATAACATGGCTACCACTGGAATCAGGAGCAACCCAATAAAACAGAAGCTATAATTATAATAGCTCCTTGTTCTGGATGGGGTTGCACTCCTCCTGAAGGATCAGGTTCACAGCTTGGAGGTGGTCCTGGACCCAGGTGTCCTGTTGGATAAACAGGTGGCAGCGGTGGTCAGGAATGTCTTTCCCCAACTTTGGTGGAACCAGCCAGCTGTAGCCCTCCCTAGATGGAAAAGATCTCGCCACTGTGGTGCATGCCCGGGTAACAACTAGATTAGATTACTACAATGTGCTTTATGTGGGGCTGAACTTGAAGACTGTCTGGAAGCTACAGTTGATATAGAATGCTGTGGCCAGAGTCTTGACTGGTGTGGATCATAGGGACCATACCACTCCAGTCATGTTCTGTGGGAGGGCTTCTAATGTCCTGGCCCCACTGGTGGACCTCCTGATGGCACCTGGTATTTCTGGCCACTGTGTGACACAGAGTGTTGGACTGGATGGGCCTTTGTCCTGATCCAACATTGGCGTCTCTTATGTGCTTATGTTCTTATGTACACTGGCTTCCAATTTGTTTCTGGGCTCAATTCAAAGTGGTGGTATTGGTCTTTAAAGCCCCATACAGCCTGGGAACAACAAAACTTAAGGAACATCTTCTCCCATATGAATAGGATTGCCAGGTGGGATCATTGCACCAGCAGGGGGATTGGGAGAGCATTCCAGGAGTGGGTGGTGACATCACAGGACATGCTGATGTCACCCAGAAGTGACATCATTGTGTCATTGACATGGGGGTGATGCTCTGATTTTGGGGCAAATCTCTATGGTAAAGTTGGCATCAAACCATAGAGTTTTGTCCCAAAACCAGAGTGTCACTGTGCAGCATCCCCAATGCAATGACGCCACTTCCACGTGACCTCAGCTCATCGGGGACTCCTGCAGTGATGCTGATGTTTGGGGTTGGGGTTTCCCCAATGGCCAGCTGGCTGGTGGTGGACACAAGCCCCCAAAACTGGGGGATCCTACACCTGGAACTGGGGAATGGCACCCTACATATGAACCTACCATACACTCTAGTCATCTTTGGAGGCCCTGCTTCAGTTACCCCTGCCATCTGAAGCTAGATGGGTGACAACTCAAGAAAGGGCGTTCTCTGTTGTGACAACAAAACTTTGGAACTCCATCCCCAGGGAAATTAATCTGTCTTCCTCTATCAGTGTCTTTTGCCAGCAGTTGAAGACTCTCCCCCCCCAGTAACTGCCCCTCCTTCCCTCTGGTGTTATTTATTTATGTGTTATTAATTTAATTATTTTATACTTTTAAGTGTATTTTAACTGCTTAAATGTTCCATTTTAGAATATTTTTTAAAATATTTATTGCTTGTGGACCCTGATTGGGTGGACAGGAAGCATTAAAATGTTTAATAAATAAAGCAAAATTCCATATTCTACCAAAGTCTTGACACAACATAAATATTTGCTTCTTGCTTCTAAAAGAAAATGCACCTGTCCGGAGAGGGGGATTCGAGAGTTAAGACAATACCATAGAACAGGCCTTGGCCATGGTAACCAGCCATTTAACCAGCCTTTTGAATTATCCCTGGATGCCTGGTTATTAACTAGAATAAGCACACATCACAAGTGCACATATCATGGCACCAAAACCTCCCCAGGGAGATTCATCTGTCTCTCTCC